GACTGGTCGATACAATGAGTGATCTGTGTAACGGAGAATGAAAATCATATCTATATTTGGACGTTTCCTCCTGTTGATCATAACCCTAAAGTTAATTCGATAAAATATATATTATAAGAATCTACTTCGCTTTAGACGTCCCCCATTTAGAGCAATGACAACGATAAGTTCACCTGCTAATATAATATATTATATACAGTATATAGCTATTGCGATTTTATTCAATGAGTTTACTATTTCAGCTTATCAATAATTTTTTATCACGTAAAAATACCATAATTATATAAGCATCAGAAATGTGATGAGCCCCGTAATGAGTTCGTTTATGTTAGGCTGGATACAAATGAATCTGAATGGGCTCATTGAACTTGGAATAGGCTCGTTGAACCAAGAGTGGGTCCAAATGAACCTGAAATGATCAGATATATTTAGAAATTTGTAACTAGAATATTATCAGATATCAGAAATAACTATTAACTAATACTATCTAAACTACTATAATAACGGAAGGCGTCAATAGAGGCTAAAAGGCTCGTTCTGAGTAATTAAAGTTAAGAAGATTAGAAATCTCGATTACAGATGTTGGTGAAACAGTATGATTTCACGTAAATAATCCTGTAAAAAAAAAAAATTCGAGGTTTGCTAACATACCAGGGCCGATTATTTTTCTGCATTTCACAGAATTGTTGCAGAAAGTAGGATTTATATAAGTACATGATTTCCGATATAGAAAATAAATGAATCTAAAATACGAGCATGATCGAAATAAAAATTTTGCTTGATATCTAAAATTATCCGAAGAATAAGCAATTAACTCATTGCAGAACATTCGAAGTTTCTATTATAACCAACACAGAATTCATGAATAACCAATGCAGAATTTACGCAGAGTTCATAAATCTTAATGCACAGAATTTTTGCATAAAATACAAATACACTGGAAATTGCAGGTTTGAAAAAAACATGAAAGTCAATCTCGTGTTCGTAGTGTTTTAGTCGACATAAATTTATTAACTTGACACATATATAGTGTTCAGCACAATCAAACAAAAACTTGATAGTCAAATACTTGCGATTAAGTCGGACATCAAATAATCGAATACTACATATATACGTGTATACGTATATATATTATATATATAAAGTATTGGTTAATCACAAGTATTTTGAATTCTTCAGTATTTATCTCATATTGTATTTTTTATAATCATAATCTCTCGACTTGACTAATTGATCAAACCCGAGTCATGGATAAAATTCATGGATATAATATAGATAAAATCTAGTGATCCAAAATCTGAAAAGTTTCGGTTTAAGTATTTATTATATATTAATATACAGTCGACACTGTCTAAATGCATACCGTCGGGAAAGGCAAAAAAAAAATCAATTTTATGCATTTATACAGCATCAACCAATCAAATACCAGAAAATCAACTGTCTAAATGCATATTACTAATAAATTTATTTAAAAAATGATGCATTTAGACAGTACGTATGCAGTATGCATTTAGACAGTATCGACTGTATAGGCATAACATAAAATTATAAAATTCCATAAACTCTAAACTTTCAAGAGTAACCTACATAACTATTGATCCAAATAGTAGCTCTAAATAAGAGTCGCTACATCAACTTTATAATGTGTTAACTAAAATTTTTCCACATGACCCGTTAACCTGGGTAGTGATGGGCGATTAGTTATCGATTAGATTAGTATTAAAATCAGTTATTCATGAGAATCGATAACAAATATTAATTAATTAGAAATTGATCTGAGATACATATTTTTTAATCGTGATACTGTACAATAAATTACATAATAAATTTATCATTATCGTAAATTTTTTGAATTTGATATAAATTACATCATAGCTATTGCATACAAATATCAAGAGCTTTAATTCTAAGTTATTTATTACTTATTTACTAAAAACTTAAATAATATTTATTAATATTAAATAATCATATATAATCAATATAGCCCATCTCTAAACCTGGGTCATGACCGGAGTTACGAACTTTCGTAAAGCTGTTATTTTATATAACATAATAAAAATTTCTGATTTAATTTTGCCTCATCTTATTATTGCATTTATTATTGAATTTAATTACAAATTACCTAACTATTAATCTAAATAAGTTAGCAACGTAACTCCATTAAAGGATAAAAAACAAAGACTATTCTCCTCAGAAAGTCATATTTTCTAGATTTTTTTTTTTTTAGGAACGCCAATCAAAATATTTGTGGGGATTTACTTTTAAAGGAAATAAAATAATAGACATACGTATCGCGATATTACTTAGAACGAAGAAATAATGATAAGGCAAAAAGATATAAAAACCGATTAGATTTTTCAATAAAGATTTTTTATTTGAATTTCGACGATTTTATAAAAATTGATAAATATTTTCTTACAAATCTTTGAAAAGAAAAAAAGAAAAATAAACACAATGTATAAGTTCTTTGCAATTATTATATTTCTAACTCTCATTACCTTTACCACATCTTTTCCGTTATCAGGGTTTACTCAATGTAATGGTACATTTCCGAATGAAGTTACTTCATTTTCTTTTAGCCCGAACCCAATAATTGCCGGTCAAAATGTTACATACACTATTTCTGTAGAGGACACAGCAACAGTCCAACACGGGGCAACATTAAATATTACAATATATCACCAACAACAAGTAATGTTTAATGTAGTTACTGATTATTGTAAAGATTTGATTGAAGCAAGTGGTTACAAATGCCCTCTTGAGCCTGGAAACTACACATTCGTTTTTTCTGAGTATATGATGACTACTCCAAATGACCCGAAAAACACTACAGTTGAATTTAATTCAAAAACTGAAAGTATGTTCTATTTTGTATTCTGAGTTTATAATTTATTGTTAAAGTAATTCCTAATATTTCTTACATAACTCAGTTGCCAATCCTGGAGATCCTAAAACTGTCTTGACTTGCATAGAAAGAAAATATTCTGTTTATTATCCGTAAATTATAACAAGTAAATGAGTTCCGTTAATGTCCGAGTGATTTTTTTTTTAATTATAATAAATTAGGGCGCTTTTAGCGAGTACAATTCTATGTTTTTATCGATTTTTTACTGATTGTAATTTAATCACATAACACTGTTTTTATTCAATATCTGTATCTGTATGTTACAACAGTTTTCTAATAGTCAGATATAATAAATTATTAAATTCATCTATAATTTATACCCCGCCCGTTGATCATATTATCTAAGTGCCTTATTGTATCATGTGGGCTTAAAGCTTTGTCTACCTTACTAAAATCAGGCCAATAAACAATATGTGTATACATTTTACTGCACCGTCCAAGAATGATCGTGCTCATGTACTGTACGTGCTTTACTTATCTACCTATCTATATTGAAAAGCTATATTTTTTATTATAGTAGAAATTCTAAACTCTTTATTACAAGATCAAACGCAAATACATTGTTTTCTTAAGAAGCTTTGATTTCATTCAGGTTATTTAATTTTATGAAAACCACTCTTACTGTAGTAATGAAATGATCCGTTTCATTATTATTAAAATTTCATTATGTTAAAAATTTATTAACAGTTTCACTAACAGTTTCACTGTATCAGTTTATAAGTCTAACTTCACTAAAACGATTCACTATCATGAGAATACTTGCATTGTGTGTCGTATATAATAATACGTGTCAAATACTGGGTATTATATAGTATAGTCGGCAAAGGAGCATAGTATACATTATTATACGGAATATATTATTTATTGAAAACTTATACATTAAGTATAAAATTTTAAATTTATTATAAGTTACATTCTGTATAATTTCGATAAAAAAAATTACATACATAGTATAATGTATAGTAAAAAATTTATACTTTTAATTTCAGTCTCTTTTTTTTCATTTTTTTTTTGTTGATTGATAATGATTAATTTTAATTTTAAATCCATTTAATAGGTGGTGTCGAAATCCGATCTCGACGTACAGCAGTTATACGTATTGTATAAAACATGATTCAAAATATACATTATGTAAAAAATATACATACTATATAATTTAAACCACAAGTTATACTTTCGGTATATTGACTATACATAATGTATACCGAAGTTTACTATACTCATCTAACAGGCTGTATTCGTCAAATATTATGACACATACCAGATATCAAAAGTGAAATAAAATGAAAATATTTCCAAAAATAATCGATTTGTGTTCGATGATGTTGTTAAGGGCGAAAACGGCGAGTCTGTCGCTAAAAGACCAGAAATCTCGCGTAACGTCGGGGATAGGCTTTAA